TCCTTGAAAGTTTATACTGAAATAACATTTTTTTTTTTGGTGGCACAAGGTTCCTGTTTGTTGTGTCAAAAACAAACAGGGCTACTCTTCTGGAATCTAAATCAAGACAGAGCCAACGCTGAGGACCGCTAAGTGCTAACTTAAATGGACCACTTTGGGGTTTTCGGTTCTGCTTTTCTCATCAGGCTAACCCTGGCTTTTAAAATACTGCACTACATGGAATTTTTAGCAAGGTGGTTCTTCCTGAGTAATATCAGAATAGCATTACTGGGTCACACGAAAGGCCTTTGTCTGTTCTGTGGCAGTATATTCCATGACCATGTTGTGTCACGTGAAGGAGTGGTAGAAATGTAACAAATAAATAAATAAATTTACTTTTTAAGTAAATTTGTAAATGATTGTTGATTGGGCTTTTGGAAAAGATTGATAAGCCCCTTGGAAGTCTGGCCTAAGTAAAGGCTAATGATAAGACTGATGCACGCTTGACTGCATTGCTGTATACCACTGGTATCAAACATAAAAGTTGATTAGTTTTAAAAAGATCGAAGGGAATGAAAGAAACCCCAGAACCCTGAGAAGGGGTGGGATCAGTGCAGCAGGCAGATGCTAGAGTCAGAGAACAGAGATATTGACTGGATTGGATGAGTTGTATGGGCATAAGCATAGCAGCAGGCATTGTACGTAAACAGGTGCAGATGAATGTAAGAGACACAGCGAGCGTTTGGAGCACTTTCATATTTCCTGGTTCAGCAAGAAATCACTTAACTGAATCAACAGGAGGCTCAAGTGACCCACATCCCACAAGTCCAATTCCTTGTTCACCTACATGTTCCCACTACGGCCATATCTCTCATCAGAGCTGCAAGAATCTGTCTGGCAAACCAAAGAGGTCCCCATGCTGGGACACTTCCTGATTTCAGTTTTACGATGCTCTTTGGAGGGGGAAGGTCTGTCATGGAAAACTACAATGAGCTGGACTAGTCTGAGCAGGCTCACACCTGAACAGGGAACTGGGAGAAGACAGAGGCTGCTGAATGTCACTCTCTGCCTTAGGACTTAACCATACTCCCAACAGAGTCCTTAGCTGGTGCTGAGAAACAAGGTGACAATGAAGATCCAAACCTTCCCCAGATGTTGAAATGCTTCCTGGGAGACTAGAGTAAACCGTACTTGTTAATTGTTTTGGTTAACATTTAATGTGCAAATGATTTCCTAATCTCTCAACATCTTTCACACAGGGGCACTGATATTCTAATTTTATAAATGACCGAGACACAGCAAAATGTTGGAGGCCATCAAGTGAATCCTTTTCTGAATACAGATTTGAACCCCATGTGCACCTTTTATTGGCTGTGGTTTTCAAGGTGAGGTCCAGGGAATTGCCGAGGGGGAAACTTATCCAGAAGTTTCTCAATGAAATGACTTGTAATGGTGAATAATTTTCCCTTAAATAATTTGCTGGCCCCCTTACGTCTCATTCCCTGCAATCCAGAGTCCAGGGGCCTGTTCTAGAGTGCGCTCTTGTTTTTACAAAAGGCAACAACAAGGCCTCACAAGCCGACCTAGTAGCACATGAACTAAGAATTCCACACAAAGTTTGTGAAACTAACTAGCTAAGAAACAAACACTTCTCCATGAATATTTGATAAGATGATTCCATAGTGCACATGCGATTCCTCAGCAGACAGGCAGGTGTAGAAAGTGGTCCCAGAGGTATGGGGTTATCCACATACTTTAGGCAACAGGTTGCACGCACTTGGCTGTAAGTCCACTGAGAAGAGCGGGACAACTTTTCACTTGGCAAGGCAATTTAGCTAACTGGTGTGTGAACATAGTATACTACCGCGTGTGTACACACATTCTTCCTCATTTGAACTGTCATGCCAGGATCATTTTAGAGAACTTTGAAGGGGCCCTTGTACCCAATTCCCTCATTGGGGCTGGGGTGCTTTCTAAATGTTCCTGTTTATATGTACATAACAAGTTTCACTTTTATCTGCACCCACAATACTTTTTTAATATTAGTGTGTTTCAGTAGGGTGCAATTCTAAACACACTACTTGGAAGGAAGATCAAGGTGGGTAGCCCTGTTGGTCTGAAGCAACAGAGCAAAGTTAGAGTCCAGTGGCACCTTTAAGACCAACAAAGTTTTATTCAAGGTGTGAGCTTCCGTGTGCATGCACACTTCGTCAGACATTTCATCGTCTGACGAAGTGTGCACGCACACAAAAGATCACACCTTGAATAAAACTTTGTTGGTCTTAAAGGTGCCATTGGACTCTAACTTCTACTTGGAAGGAATTCTTATTAAAATCTATGGAATTTTCTGATTCAATGTGCTTAGGACTGGGCTAATTTTCTCTGTGTGCCACTCTTTCTTTACCTTCCCTAGAATGAGAGTCTCCTCTCTCATCCCTCCTCCTGCTCAAGGTGCTTTTGTTTTCATTTATCACACATGAGGTGCCTACAGTGCAATCAGGAACAGTTACAGCCTCCTTAAGACCATTCCGTGTGCTCAAAAGGGTGAAGCTCTGCTGTAGGATTGTACTGTTATTGATTAGGCTAACGGCTTACATTTCCTTGGACTGTTTAGAAGAGAAGGAGATTGGATTTATACCCCGCCCTTCACTTGGAGTCTCAGAGCGGCTTACAAACTCCTTTCCCTTCCCCTCCCCACAACAGACACCCGGTGAAGTAGGTGGGGCTGAGAGAGCTCTTTCCAGAGCTGTCCTTGAGAGAACAGCTCTGACAGAACTATGGCTTGCCCAAGGTCCTCCAGCAGCTGCAAGTGGAGGAGTGGGGAATCAAACCCGGTGCTCCCAGATTAGAGTCCACACACTTAACCACTACACCAAACTGGATCCCAATTAATTAAGACGATACCAGTTAATCAGGCATTTTTAAAAAAACCTATTGCATTTTAAAATAATTAATTACTACTAAATCCAGACAGACAGATGCCATTTTAGAAAAAAGTGTTCCTGTTCCTTGACCTGGATAACCCATCCTAGCCTGATCTCATCAAGTTAAGCAGGGTCAGCACTGGTCAGAACTTGGATGGAAGACCTCCAAGGAATACCAGGGTCATGACCCAGAGGCAGGCCGTGGCAAACCACCTCTGAATGTCTCTTGCCTTGAAAACCCCACGGGCTCACCATAAGTCGGCTGTGAACGAAAGAAGGCCTCTTCCATGATGGTGTCTGGTGTAACACACAATTTTAAAAAAGCCCTCTCCTTGCTTGTTTTGTTTATATGCAAATTTATGTAATGAGTTAAGTGACTTAAATGTCTTTAGACCAGGTATGGCTTTTGTCCTTTTATCATTCCACAGAATGTGTAAAACAGGTTTATTCTGGAAGGTGTATTGTAAGGGGAATGTGTGTGCAAAAACTTTTTATTGCATATTGCACTGCTTGTTGTATTTGTGTGGGGAGGGGCTGTGGCTCAGTTGGAAGACAGACTACTCAGCATGCAGAAGGTCCCAAGTTCAATCCCCAGCATCTACAGTTGAAAGGATCTGGCAGCACGTGAGGTGAAAGATCTCTGCCTCAGACCCTGGACAGCTGCTGCATGTCAGAGAAGACCATACTTACCTTCATGGATCAATAGTCTGATTCAGTAGAAGGTAGGGTTGCCAAAGGTGGGTTGGGAAATATCTGGAGATTGGGGTGGGTGGGATGGGGAGGAATGGGACCTCAGCAGGGTATAATGCCACAGAGTCCACCGGCCAAAACTGACATTTTCTCCAAGGAAACTGATTTCTGTCGTCTGGAGATCAGTTATAATACCAGGAATCTCCAGGCCTCATGTGGAGGTTGGTAACCCAATCATGTATACATTACATGGTTTTACTATATATACTATATATAATGCACCAGTGGGAGGCATTAGTGGACGCCAGAGATAGTGTTGTCCTGTGTTGTTTCTAAAATTTTGTTATGAACTGTATTTATTTGTACTGTTGTTTGACTATTGTAACCTGCCCTGAGCCTGCTTGTGGGGAGGGTGGGATAAATCCAATCGTGAATAAATAAATTTGATAAACATATAAAATATATAGCAGATATATATTCCCTTCGTTGTTTTCCCTCGGAATTAAACCCAAACAAATGGTGACCATATAAATTAAGCTGCTTGTTCTAGTTTGGTCCTTGCATCTGTTAAAATACCTTTTAATTATGCTGTATGCTAATTTGCTGCTCATAGACTGGTAACTTCCATTTCAGTGTATGTGAAGCTTATGCCTTGAATAAAACTTTGTGGGTCTTAAAGGTTTCCCTGGACTTGAACTTCCTTCTGTGGTTTCACTACATTAGTTTTAACTGTGGAGTTCACCTTGATGAGAAAGGCGGGGTCCTACATGAAATAAATATCATTTTTTTGCTCATCTCTAGAAGGAGACTCTTTCTTTTGATGGGAAACTCAGAGGCCCCTCCTTGGAGCTTCCCCCTTCAATTTCCCTAGGGTGGCCTGTCTCTTTAATTGGCGCGGGGGGGGCGTGGCGTCACAATGGCTCTCCTAAGGCTGCCGCAGCCTTTCAGCGTAGCTCGGTCTCCTCGCGAGTGGAGGGGAGAGGGTGAAAGGATGGGGGCTCTTGAGGGCCAAGGCCTACACTGAGGCCTCAGCCACCGCCCCCCTCCTCGTCGTCAAGGGTTGCCAGGGCATTGCATCATCTCCCCCGCATGACTCACCCACTGATAGTCTCGTGACCCCGAAGGGAGGGGGGGGAGTTTCGGGAGGAGTCACTTCCGGGTGCGACGCGGCAACCGCCACCACCTCCTCCTCCACCATCACCACCCCAGAGGACCTGCGTCAAAGGGCGGGGCCACAAGGGAGGCGGACGACGCCGATTGGACGACGGGGGATGCCTTCGCCTCTCCTCCAATGGAGGGGGGCCGGCGGCGCCGATTGGACGGAGGTGGCGCAAGGGTTGCGTCATGTGGGGCCCCAGTTTAAGGACTATCCCGGTCTGAGGCGGAGGCGGCGGCAGTTGGCAGTCTGGTGCCGGCAGCAGCTCTGTGAAGGAGGATGAGCAGCGAGAGGAGCATGAACCGAAGCCAGCCACTGGGGGAGAAGATCGCGGACGAGAAGAAGGGGCCGCGTAGGAAGGTGCGCGGAGAGGCAGCAGGGGGCCGCGGGGAGGACATGGGCTCGGACGCCCCTGAGTTCCCTTACTAGGACGCCTGGGTTCCCTTGCAGTTAATGAAAAGGGGGAGGCTCGGACGCCTGGGTTCCCTTATTAAAAGGGGGGGGGCTCGGACGCCTGGGTTCCCTTACAGTTGAAAAGTTGAGGTTTAGCTAGGATGCCTGGAACGCCCCTCACTCCCCCCTGCCGCAGGAATTTGACAGTGACCCAGTTGACGCCTGGCTAGTCAGTGGTTTGTCCCATTCATTGAGTTACAAGGGGGAAAGGAGGGCTTAATCGCTCACTTCCCCCCTCCCCCGCTGCAGTTCCGTCCTTTTAGTGTGTACTGAAATATCACTGTATTTCTGAACTCTCTGCAGCAAGTGGGCAGGGGATGTGTGCTGCCTTTGCCCGTCCCAGTTTGGCCAGAATCAAATCCCTCTGAAGTCAGTAGGAAGTTTGCCTCAGTAGGCAACGGAATGGGTTTGCAGCCGTGACATTTTGCGGGGTCGAAGGCTTTACAGGCTGCGGGCACGCACACACTACGTGATCCACTGCCAGTGAACTTTGCAACTGGCTTTTGCCAGTTCGCACAGTAAGTGCACCGAAAGTGGATTATTTAGTGCGTGTGACCGCATGCAGCTTTAGGTTCCCTTCTACCTGCGTCTCCCCAGGAGCTGCCCAAACCTGCCTATATAGTTTCTCCTTCCTGTCCATGCTGCAGTTCCCTTTCTCACTGTGAAGACTGGATTCTGGGCAAATACTGCTAAAACTGGATAGATGATTTGGCAACTTAAAATAAACCCTTTCTCACTGTGAAGACTGCATTCTGGGCAAATACTGCTAAAATTGGATAGATGATTTGGCAACTTAAAATAAATGGGATATACTGTAGGGTGCCAGGGGATCTATAGAACTTACGATGTTCCTTATACAGGAAGGAACCATCTCTTTAAAATTATTATTGTTTAGGGGTAATCTTTTGAGAGAGGAGGTCAGTCGTATAGTAATGGAAATTGTAAGATGGGGATGTGATGTTCCTTATACAGGAAGGAAACATCTCTTTAAAATTATTGTTTAGGGGTAATCTTTTGAGACAGGAGGTCAGTCATATAGTAATGGAAATTGTAAGATGGGGATGGCTGTTCAAGGGAACCTGTGATAGCAGCCCCAATAAAATAAAGTTCCTGATTTGCTGGCTAGTAGTTAGGAATATGAAGTTTCTGATTCATTTGCCAAGTTGCTGGGAAGTTTTTTTGCTTAATGTGAATGGCTACTGTTAGTGATGGCCAAGAAACCTCAGCTTTTTCATGGCTAGCTTAGCTTCCAGCATACAAAATGTGTCTGGTCTTGTTTTGTGCAGGGGAAAGATTGGAAATGTGGGTGAACTGCCTGCCACAAGGCTGTGTACTCTCCCATTGCTATCTTGTGGGTTCCTAGCAAGTGACACTCAGGGACCCAGTGTGCTGTACTGGTCAGAGAGAAATCCAGGAGGCTTGGGTTCGAATCCCCACTCTACCATGGAAACGTGCTGGGTGACCTTGGGTAGGTCACACACTCTCGGCCTAATGTACCTCAGAGGATTGTTGTGAAGAGAAAATGGAGGATGAGGGAATGATAAAAGCCGCTTCGGATCCGCATTGCGGGGAAAGATGGGAACGCAATTAAATACATAAATAAAAAATTGACTTCTTTCGCAGCAAATGATTCCTTAGGAACAAAATCTTTACTGACCTTGATTGACAGGGGTGCCTTGGGGGAGGGATAAGAGGTACCCCACTGAGATGCCTGGTGTGAGAGATGGCCCCATATCTCCCTGCAAAGATTGCAGAGTCTCCTGCCGTGGCATTTTGTTGGCTCGGAACGGCTGTTTGCGTGGCTCCTTGGGGAGCCCTTTTTCCCCACCCGGCTGCATAACAGTTCCTGGATCCCTAACTCTGTTGGTTTCTTGCATCACTCGGGGCTGATGAAAAACCCATGGTGTGTCCCCTGCGTCGGCTGCATTCCTGTGGGGTTCCCCCGATGCTCCTGAACGGCCTGGCAACTTAGAGCAATGCCAGCCTTCAGCAGTCTGTCAACGAGACCATGCAGAAGAGTTGGGGCGGTGTAGAACTTACACTGAGAAATGAGGGTCTCTGGTCTTTTTCGTTAAGGAGTCCTTCAGTTTAGCTTCAGGTCCTTCACATCTGGTCAAAAGGCATTATCTGTCCAGGGTTTGGACGTCAAAAAATTGGTTTTCAATTCCGCCTCAGGTCTTGAGTGTGTGATGTTCACAGTCTCTCAGCTTAAGCTACCTACCCCGAAAGAATGTTTTTAAGGATTCAAGGAGAGCAGCTGTACATGTGTTGCACTGAACTCCCCAGAAGCCTTCCTTCTCCTGTCTTGCAAGGAGCAGTAAACCTAAAACAAGTGAAAATCATAGGTCCCTTTGGTGGGGGATGGGGCTGAGAACAGCACTTCACAGTGTTTGCTGCAGCCCAAAGTGAGCATGTCTCAGAAGTCCCATGTTAGTAAATCTCTTATTCTGTGACAAAGCTTGGTTATAGATCCTTGAGCATGCTACCTTTTTAGAAGGGGGCCTCTACAAAGCACTTCATTCTGGAACTGACTTTGCCTACCAGTGCGAAAAGGAAAGGACGTTCCTTTTCTAGCTGTGTAAATGTACCAGAATTCCCTTCTGAGTATCAGAGGCTAAAAACAAAAGCTGATGGAAGCAGTGCAGATCAACGTGTGTGGGGAGAGGTGTGTGTTCCACAGCCCTTTTACGACCCCTATTCCTATGGGGTGGGTACGAAGGCCTATCAGAATGTCCACTACAGGTCATAACAGTTGCTCTTTTTCCTCCCTCCCTGCAGCTTCGAATGAAGACACGCGTCCTAATACATCATCACACTTGAAAGCAAGGTAAGACTCCAAGGCGGGGAGGGAGGGTAGAAGCTTGGATTACCCAGAACCCTGTTTGGGTGCTGTATAGGCAAAGTGTGTAAATGCAAGAACTGTTTGAGCTGCAATTCGGTGCCCATTCAGAAGAAAGCCCTTTTGAATTATGTGGATTTTTACTTTTGAGGAAACATGCCTAGTCCCAACCTGGATACGCCCAGGCTAGCCCGATCTCATCAGATCTCAGAATGTAAGCAGGGTTGGCCCTGGCCAGTATTTGGATGGGAGACCACCAAGGAAGTTCAGGGTCACCACGCAGAGGCAGGCCATGGCAAACCACCTCTGAACGTCTCTTGCCTCGAAAACCTTACAGGGTCGCCATACGTCCGCTGTGACGGCACTTTCCACCACCAAACATCTCTAGAAAGTTGTGCGGTCTGTCTGCAGCTGTGCTGGCATAAACAACTGCGGCTCTTGAGCCAAACAGAAGGATATCTTTGTACAACTTTGTGGAGTGTGACAGGGGGACTCATTCCTGTATAACCGCGACAGGATGTTGAGTATTGCCTGGCCTCCAGTGGCGTCAGCGTGACTCTGACTGCCCCTGCCTCTGCCATAAGTAGAAAGGTTTACTTGAAAAATCTGGTTTAAAAGTTGCAGACTTTCAAACCGTAACAAGCAGCCTCTTCTATTGGGGAAATTCACTGACCTTCATTTTGGTGCTTTCGGGGGGGGGGGCCTTGTCTGCATTTTTGATTCACATCTGAGGAACCCCTGATACCCTCCCAAGGATCCACTGGGTTCTTTGGCACACCGTCTGGAGGATGCGACCGTAACATGAGCAAGTGGTGTGTGTGTTTTGATATGTTTGGTCATCACAGATTGCTTCCCCTGGTCCTCAGGGTTAACTTGATCACAGTTTGCTTAGCGCTGCCTGAAGAAATGGCTTGGAACTCAAAGTTCAAGCAGCTGTATTGCCAGTGTGTTTATGGCTGGCTGAACCAAGGCCATGGATTCAGTGCTAGAACTGGCTTTAAAATCACAAAGGGAAGAGGGGTGGATTTGATACATGGCAGGCAAACGCCCTGATCTGGATAGCCTAGGGTAGCCTAATCTTGTCAGATTTTGGAAGCTAAGTGGGGTAGGCCCTGGTCAGTATTTGGATAGAAGACCACCGAGGAAGTCCAGGATTGGTACATAGAGGAGGTCAGTGGCAAACCACCTCTGAACACCTTTTGCCTTGAAAACCCTACGGAGTCACCACTGGCTGTGACTTGACAGCCCTTTCCACCACCAGCAGGGTCACGCACAACAAAGTCAGCTTTCTCTGGAGTCTGTCCCCTGTCAAGGGGAGGTGCTGTGGCTCAGTGGTAGAGCATCTTCTTCGTATGTCAGAGGTCCCAGGTTCTGTCCCTGGAATCTCCAGTTAAAGGGATCAGGCAATAGGTGATGTGAAAGCCCTCTGCCATAAGACCTTGGAGAACCACTGCCAGTCCGAGGAGACAACTCTGGTCTTGATGGACCGAAGGTTTGATTCAGTACAAGGCAGCTCCATGTGTCCTAACAATCGTGGAAGAATCTTCGCTCTGTGAATAGAAATATAGTGTGCATATCGTCAGAATGGTGAGGCAGCTTTAATTGTAAACCCCCCTCTCCTCACATACGGCGCCATGCTATTTGGACCTAGTAAAGGCAGTTATCCTTTCTCAGGGGATATGAGCAAGCTTTTCAGGGCCCATGTTAAGATGGTACGGGATGGATCCAGACTGAACCAGGCAAGGGTTTGTGCAGTCAAAAGGATAACAAGATTCATGCAGTGATTGCCTTTTCAGCTGGACGCACAGGTCCACAGAAGCTGTAACGGCAGTCCATCTTTGTCACGTTATCTGAATCAATGTCCCTCTTCCAAGCAACTTCAGCTTTTCAAGGCATTGCTTTGAGAAGGATATTGTGGAGAAGGGGATGCAAGACCAGTGATTGTCTGGCAGAGGTCAGGCTGTCTGGATCATCGGATAGCGAACCCTCCTTTCACGAGAGCTACTTTTGAGTAATGGAAAATAGCCAGAGCTATTCCCGCCCCCCCCGCCCCGCCTGTGCGTTACCAAGTTTTGCAGTGTCTTAGAAACAGACTAGGAAGAGCACTAGAAACGAACCATGTCATCTAAGCAGTGTGGAGAAAAAAATCTAGGAAATAAGAGCTCTGAAAAAAAATATATAACCCCAACAACCTAGAGTAGATCTTTTTGTGATCTTTTTCTCGGTCTTCTAGGAGATGCACAAGGCGCGGCAGCCAGAGAGCTACCTTTTGGAGGCCCCCAGTTTGGACAGCTGTAATTCTTGTTTTGCCCCTAGTTTTCTGTATCCAATATACGCTTGCCGCCACCACCACATACAAAATAAGGGGTGGGGAAGTGTGCCAGTTTAAGCAGCAGGTTGGGGTGCTTACCGATAGGTAAACTGACTCATACGTAGATGTGCTAGTGAGAAGCTTGAAGGTGGTGGGGGGGGGGAGAGGTGTTTGCCAAACTCACCCAGGCCGCTGCAGGTGGGAAGAGCTCGAAAGACCGCCAGTTTCCTTGTGAGATAAAGCTCTGCTGCAGTGTGCTCTGGCGCCCATCCTGAGACTGTGAAAATGCAGTCGTGGCGTGAGTCGTATTGTGGGTTCCTGTGTGACTTTTGGTGCCCAGGGAGTTATCTGCCTTTGCTTGTAGAGAGCCTTCGTGACAATAACGTGAACTCGTGAGCGGCCGATAAGCTCTCCGCTCCCAGGCGTGTCCAAACTTGCCTCAAGGCTGCAGAAAGAGGAACGGCTGGCAGTCACAGGAATGTCTGGCTGGCACTCCCTGCCTGTCTTATGACTGTGACTCACCTCATATTTCTAACAGGAGGCCCTTCCAAAGGGGAGAGTCCGCCAGTTAATCACTGTCAGGCCCTCACCAAAACCCGGACTGCCTTCGCCAGTTTCCCTGCGCAGGATATCCTGTCCCCTAAGAGATGGGATAGATTTGCCAGCGGTGCAGAAGAATCCCTTCATCCTGCTCTGATATTTGTGTTTTAATTAAAACAAAAAAAAAACAAAACCCCACCCTACTCCATTCAGGAAAAGATCTTAATTTGTAAGGACATGTTGAAGATGGCATACTTACGCAGTGCACTGCATTTCCCGTGTCCTTTGAAGGCTTGCAGCGTTCACAGGGAATGCTCCTGTCTGCGAATGTATAGGATTTGTGACCTTGGCAGACTTGAGCTTTAAGAGGTGCATTCATACCAGCCTCCTCTCCCCCCACATCAGGAACATTCTTCGCTTTGAAATAAACAAGTGCTTTGAGCCCAGGAGTAGTTTGCATAGACAGCAGGTGAAGTTTTGTATCGGCAAGCCCACATTTCCTCGCGATCTATTAAAAAATTACTTCAGAGAATGGTTTGGGATAACAATGCTGGTTTTCATAGCGGGCTGCTTTCTCACTCACTCAGTTCCCCTGGTTATATGCTCTGAAGCACCCGTCTCGGTGTGCCCTCTCTGCCAGTGCCATTCGAGAGAGACAGCTCGAAAGGCTGAGTCGGAATCCAGTGAGATTTTCCGCTAATGGAGGCTGGGGGCAATTAGCCCCTCATGCTGTTCGTAGGTCACCTGGGAGTAGCATTTAGGGGTGATCAGTGAATGCACTGGGAGAAGGGAGGGAGGGGAGTTCCATTCCACTTGCAGAATTGCCTTAAGTCAGCCAAAATGGATCCAACCCATCCTTTTGCCCAGACGTCCACCTCGATATGTATTCTTCCCCCTCCCCATCTTTTGTCTTGCTTCTTGAATAAACTGATTTATGTTTTAATTCTGCTGGGCTGATGCTGGTTTTATTGGTAAGAGATCGTGTGCTTGGCTGGGAGGATGGGTAACTTACTATTTTAAAAAACGCTGTCCTGTTTCCTGATGCGCATACTTTTCCCTCCATTACACAGCCTGGCTGTACGTCAACCATGATGGCAGAATCTCTGCCCTTCTCTACGGAAACCCCAGTGCCCAGCTGGGACCTGGAGGCCTGGTACGAGGACTTGCAGGAAGTGCTTTCCTCGGATGTCACCAACAGGACAGGCCCCCCTGTAGGGGGAGAGGAGCTGGTGAGTAAACACGGGAGGCGGGCGCTTGAGTTGTCCGGATCCTCCGTGACCCATAGATTGCTCTCATAATGTTAGGTGATCTTGTCCCCAAGTGTTTCTTCCCCTGTATTCTGCAGCACTTCTTGTTTTCAGTTTCCATGAAGAATTCCTACAATCCCAGACACTTCATAGGTCAAGGCTGCTCCGGTTTGCCATAGTTGTGGTTTCTTTTGTTCATGTGACATTTCAGCCCCTGACAAACTAGTGATTTTCCCACCATGCACTTCTAGAACTCACAACCTTCCTTTTAGTTTGTCCTCGTATGTGTAGATAAACTTATTTTTTTTTAAAGGGCCACATATCCTTCCACTCAGCTTCAACTCTTTTCTTTCCCAACCTCCCCCACTTGGAGGAATTTTTTTGTTAAGAATTAGTTTTACTCTGCCAGCCAAAAAACCTTTGGTAGCATCCTTCAAGGTGTTATAGTTTTCTGCCCCCCCATCCCATTTGTATGAATGAAACGTATGCCATAATCATACAAAGCTTAAAACTGACTCAATATGGTTGTTGCTGAAAATGGGGGGGAAGAGCACACTAATCTCAAACCCATTAACCACCCGATTCACAGCGCCAACACATAAGCAAGTGTAGTTCAACTGTGTGCCCCCCCCCCAGTTCCACTGGGGGGAAAAGAGACATGAAGCAAGTTCTGCATTCCACGCAGAAAGAAAACTCCATACCAAAGCTTTGTTTTTAGTGTAGTTCAACTGTGTGCCCCCCCCCCCAGTTCCACCGGGGGGGAAAGAGACATGAAGCAAGTTCTGAATTCCACGCAAAGAAAACTCCATACCAAAGCTTTGTTTTGGAAGACTGACGCTGGGGACTCCCTTCTTCCATAATGAGAAATTCGGTGGCACCCTTTGTTATTACTACAGATGGGACAGGGCTAGAATTAAGTCCTTAAAGGCCTTAGCTAGTCACTGTTTGAAGGATGTTAAATAGGGAAAGGGTAACGCCCCCCTGAATCTGAGCAGGGACAGGCTGCCCCAGTTACCGCTGATAAGCCTGAATTGCAAATATGCAGGCAGAAAATGTTAATCATATCTGCTTGGTTGGAATGTTGACTTCTGAAGAGACTGGCACATGTTCTCTCTTCCGGGGGGGGGGGCAGTAGTGGTGGTGAATGAGGGTAGGGTTTTTTTTTCTTGCAAGCAAGTGTTTCTGTATAATATTCCATATTCTATAGCAGGCGCACAACTACTGAAGCAATCAGTATAAGACAGCCCAATCCAAGGCTGTGAGAGTTTCGAGGGGTCTGGGCGAAGAACCAAATGAACACTAAAGACCATCTGTCTTTAAACTGGGAACATGTGCCATTAAAAATTAAACTCTGGTGGTTGTAGAGCATCAACACACGTGCTTTCTTTCCCCTTGCCCCAGCCACAGATGTGGGCCTTGAAGTGAATGAGGAAACCATGTACATGCCTCCGCTAACTAAAAGGAATGTTGGGGAGCTTATGGGCTAGATCGCTTGCTATTGGTGCACTGACCTTACCAAAACATGTAAAAAGATTTTTTTTACAAAAAATTGTGTGTGAAACATAGAGACATTGTGACAAGGGTAACCATATATGGCCAGTGGCCCTCACAAATTTTGGAAACCCCACCACAACAATGATAAAGGAGACTTTTCTGGTATTTGATGGTAAACTTTACCCATTTAAACTGGTGTGGTGGCAGGAAGGGATTTGGGTGCATCCGTACAATATCCCTGTGTGGATTCTAGTACTATCTTGAAATGTCAGTGCCCATGCTCTGTTCCTCACACCCTTCCATCTAACCCCACCCCCCCAAATATCTTTTAGCCTTTCCAAACACCATGAAATTGGAGAAGCTACATTTCAGGAGCACACACAAAAAAAGGTATCAAGATGACCTCTTTGCTTTTGCAGCCCCTCCAATCCAACTTTCAGCACATGTGGGATTCTTACGGGACCAGAAGGGAGCGTGCACTTCGTAGGGGTTGCCTTCCCACCCTGCCGAGTGTGTCTTAAAACATCAATCCACCAGCTTTTCCTCATGCTTTTGAAATAGTACACTGGAGTGTTCATCAATGAACAAGAAGCAGCTTTTTGGAATCTTAATGCTATTAGACTGCCCTGTCTGTATCCCGCCTTTCTTTCGAAGGAATTTAAGGTGGCAGATGTGACGCTGTTTCTGTTTTTATGATGATCAGTTGAGGAGGAGCAGATTCGTGCACTTGGGTCCTGTTTACGATTCAGTTCCTCTCTACTATGGGGGGATTTGCTCTGAAGGTCTGTCCAGAGTTCAGTTCTTCTGAGCAGAACCCCCAAGCCTGGAGAAGGAATGGTCCTCCAAATCCAGAAGTGAGGTGGGTACTTAAGTAGCTGTCTCAAGTGGATTTGGACCTAGCCCAGGTCTTAATGCTTTATCCACTACACCAATATGCGGCTTACCCCTTGAACTCAGCCTCGCTCCATTTTCCTTACAGAAGGAGTTTATCGAGGCGGACGGTTCCACCCTGCTGTGGAGCCTAGAGACCTCAAATCCCTTGGAGCCTAGCGGTGGCGAGGCGGCTGGGACCTGCGACCTGGACCCCGCCCTCACAGCTGAACTTCTGGAACTGCTTGGTGAGGAGCCGCTGGGACCTGCCGAGTCTGACTGCAGTCACAGTTCCCAAGCCCAGACGGGCACGGACGAGGAGGAGGGGGTGCCTCCCAGCCGGAAGAGGAAGTGGAGCGGGCAGCCTCAGGGTGGCAAGAGGCAGCGAGGCAGAGAGCGGGAGCAGGAGAACGAGCGCCGAGTGGCAGAGCTGACGGCCCACAATCAGCGGCTCCAGGAGGAAATAGAGCAGTTGAGCGCGGAGGTGGAAGCCACCAGGGCGGCGCTCATCCAGAGGATGGTGAACCTCAAGACTTGAGGGAGGTGCGGTGCTTCCCCAGCGGGGCTGGAACTGGCACCTCCCCTTTGCCCCCCACTGAGAACAGACAGAGAAAGCTTTAGACTTTGCCAGGAAGCAGGCTGAGCATCTGTGGACTTTACTCAGCAGGCTGAGACTGGACCCGATCTGGATAATATCAGCTTGCACTGGATGTTTGACAGATTGCTTTTTAACTTGGGTCTGGCGAGGGCTTGCTTCGCAGAACTGAACCGTGAAGCGACTGCGAAGCTCACATGTGCTGAACAATGATGCTGGTGCTCGTTCCGACCTACCAGATTTGATGGTTTTAGGCCTGTTGGCTCTGGGGTGAGGACCTCTTCAGCTGGACCACTTTATTAACTTTGTGTGTGTGTGTGGGGGGGGGAGACTTGCATGTACGTCCACCTCGAGTAATAGCTTTTGTACTGCCCGTATAATTAAGCAATAAAGTATTTATTTCTCACCAGGTAAACTTCAAAGAGTGCCGAACCAGTCTGTCCCACATATTACAAAATAGGAGAAGAGGGACACATCAAAAACAGCAGAGTGGTGTTAAACTCCCATGGGGTACTTAAATACAGGGCAAGAAGGGACTAAAAATCTCTTGGCGTGAGACGCTACACACACGCACTCATTTCTTCCCTTTCCCCTTGGGGGCCTGGGGGGCAGGATTCTTTCCGTCAGCCGAGCAGAGCTGCTTCTGCAGTTCCGTTAACTTTGAAACCGCAGCATCGATTTGTTTCTTCTCGGCTTTTTGGGCTTTCAGCTGCCGCACGTAGTTATCCTGGACCAAAGGGAAGTGGAGGGTTAATATTTGGCAGGCAGGGACAAAGTCACTAACCTTAGAAGCAAAAAAGCTGTAAACGGGTGGAAATGGGAAAGCTTATAGGAGGTGCAACTCATATGGGCTGGGAGAGGGCCCCCTTGTACAATGCTCACGCTCAGTGTTCTCTCTAAGCTGAGTTAGTGGATGCTCATGCTGCCTGTCCTTCAGCTTCCTTATTCCTGCATCTCCTCCGCCGAGTTTCTACAGCTTTTGTACTAACCTCCTGTCCTTCCAAAGAGCAACACAAAGTCTTCTGCCCTGTGGTTTTCCTCACCATCCCCAGCTCCTTTGTCCTCTTACCAACAACCCGCTTTGTTCTAAGCCTGGTCTCTAGCTACCCTAGCTGTGCTCAGGTGGGGGAAGGCAGGCAAGCCCGCTGCATGAGTGTGCTATGGATCACATGGTGGGGGTGGCAGAACCACCAGGGCTGCTGCCACTTGCTCTGAACCTCAGTCCGCGTAGTGGACAGGCCAGCTCTGCCGGTTATAAAGGGTGCAGCTAAGTGAATGGTTATTCTGCACAGACTCACCTGCTTGGTGACTTCTTCCTGAAGCACCTTCACTCCCTTTTCTGCTACTGTTACATTTTTTTGCTTAACAACAAAAGGGGAAAAAATACAGTGAGCGAAACCCCTAACCGTTTTATCCTTCACAATGAGACTACAATGGTAACTAGCATTACAGTGCTAATATAACTCTTGGATAAAGCCCTCTTGCTGGTAAAAGAGGAACCAAATACTCAGGATGAAGAGCTGGGGTTCGAACAAGTCCTAGATGTCCTGTTAACTCCTGTTCTCACTAAGGTTTGTCAGTGGGGAAAAACCCACTAAAGAGAACTACCTGCAAGACATACTTTCCCTTAGGAAGTTGCCACCAGAGCAGATCTCAATCCATTTGTATTTTCGGAGTACGATCACTCGGGCAAATCTCATTCTCTACTGGGACTCAACTGCGCTTTATATAGCACACATATGGACAAAAACAGCATAGAAAGATACAAATACAGGAAAGCAAATCCAGAACAGCCTATCTGAAGGTGCAAGGACTTCTGCCTGTGTGGCATAACTTTGGTACTGTACTGCCGCTGCAGCCTAAAATGCCACCAAATCCACTTCTGAAGGGCCCCTCCTTCCCCATGAGCCGGATTTTCAGGGGGCCTTTTGGTGGAGGGGAGCTGTGAAAAAAAGTGTGCTATGTAGAGGGAAGTCCATGTGCCTGTGGAAAGTCTATATAAAGTTAGAAATAAGGCATGCCGCCCTTTAACCCAAAGAGCAAAACCAAGGAACTAGGCAAGGATCACACACCCCTCTGGCAGGGCTCTTGTGTTTTATCAGTGCCCCACGGCAGAAAAAGAATGGCAAGCGATGGTGTGATATGAAAGGCTTTGCTATTAAAACAAAGTTGTCATTTACAGGCCTCGTTCCTGCCGTTATTCTGGCCTCCCCACATTGATCCAGAAACCAGGGCCGCATGAATTCTCTTTGACAGTTTAGAAGGAATTATGGGAGACGCAGAGCTTGGTGGTCTTCCCCCTTTCACTGGAATAAGCAAGTCTGTTTTTGTTTTTTAGGCGGGGAGTAGGGAATCCGTTACTTTATCAAGGGGTAAAAGGTGCGGCAGCGAAGCAGGGTCAGCTCTGGCGAGTATTTGGATGGGAGACTTCCAAAGAATACCGGGGCTCTGATGCAGAGGCGGGGAATGGCAAACCATCTCTGAATAGCTCTTGCCTTGAAAGCCCTGCAGGGTTACCATAAGGGAGCTGTAACGTGACAGCACTTTCCTCCATCGCCAAAAGGTAAGGCGGTTGGGAGTACCAAAAGTTTCAGAGGAACTCCCAGGCCGCACTAGCCAGGGGCTCACCAGTTCTTCTACAGTGGCCTTCTGAATGCCTCTCAGAAAGGTCACGACAGGCAGGGCGTGCTGGAGATGGGAGGAGCGAGACGGTGACCACGTGCTCAAGTAGTCTTGGGCAGGCGCATCAGGGACAGCAGCAGTCTACAGCACAGTATTACGTTTTAACCCTGCTCTCCCTCCAATGAGATCTGGGCTACAGGTATACTTCTCCCCATTATATCTTTGGATAGGCTGAGAGAGGGGATTGACCCATGGTCATCCAGTGAGCTCCATGGTTAGGGACAGACTTCAACCCTGCACCTCCAGTTCCAGGCCAGCCACCACCACCACCACACTGGTTCCCGAACAGAAGCAGGGGATGCCTCCAAGCCTGCTCAGGGCATCAAGACAGACTGTGCTGTGCCTCCTGCTTTGCACAGCTGCCTGCTTCATGGCTCACCTAGCCAAAGGTATAACCACATTACAAAGGGCAACGAAAGAGCCAGCATGGCACATTGGATTTATACCCCGACCTTCACTACCCAAAGGTGTCTCAGAGCGGCTTACAATCTCCTTTCCCTTCCCCTCCCCACAGCAGACACCCTGTGAGGTAGGTGGGGCTGAGAGAGCTCTTTCGAGGACTGCCCTTGAGAGAACAGCTCTGAGAGAACTTGTGACTGACCCAAGGTCACACCAGCAGCTGCATGTGGAGGAGTGGGGAATCAAACCCGGTTCTCCCAGATTAGAGTC